TATCACTTTCTTTGTTTTAGCACATAGTTCTTTTTGCTGGGCCTGAACTGCAAATTCTATTTCTTGGCAACAGCTTTGGTCTGTATGCAGATCTTTTGTCTGTGTAGCTTGGTTGCTCTATTTATAATCTATATCTAGATAGTTTCATAGTTACACAGAAATAGAGACAAATATAGTATAGAGAATTTCCATCTGACCCTTTTCCCATTTCAGGGGCCCTCACTCTCTCCACCAGCCAGCTGGTTTCACTTTCTTGATACACCAGACTAGAAGGAATCAGGTATTTTAATGCAACTATGACCTTCCTCTAATAGTTTAACCTACAAGTGAAAACCTTGGAAAGGAGTCCTTATTAATATAGTCCCCTGCTTCTGGATAGCAGCACCCTCCCTGCCAAATATGTGTGCTAGGTTCACTTGTCAGCACCTTCAGTCAAGTGGGTTTTGTGTCATGTTCATGATTAATATTTGCTTCCTCCAACAGGAGCCCAAGGTAGAGTAAGGAAGGATCTAACGGCAGTGGGTCAGCATGTAGACTGGACAACTGCCCTCCTTTCCACAAATCCATAAATGTTTCATCAATAAATGTCCTCTGTCTAATATGAAGATATGACCAAGAGGATCAGATTTCCTCTCCTGCCAGTGTCCAGACATGTTGGGCTTTTGAGCAGGAACCTCAAAGTAGGTCCAAAGCACTCACCTACACCTATTACATTTGGAAAATTATTGGGTTTCAGGTGTGTTTAATGGATCATGGGTCAAGCATGGTGATTAGAAACTCAAATTCCATGAGAAGGCACCCTCTAGACCCTTGTCCTGGATATTTCCTAGTGGGTAGAGTTTACATACTTATGGTGTGGTGGAGTGAAGATGCCATCAAGTTAATCAGGAGAAGCCGAAAGCTTTAGAAAGACCAAAAGAGGCCACCATAAAATTCACACTAAGAAATTGAAACATAAAAAGCACTGGAGTTTATTAAGGAATGACTCACTGAACCACCTGGGAAATAAGAGGAATGAAATATGAGCAGAGAGGGGCTGCCCTTGAGCCCACTTGGGACATACATTCCACAGGGAAAGAACAACTGATACTAAAAATTCACCAAGTTCTAGGGCTTCCAGGGCTGCTTCGTGATCCCCTCCCCACCCCACCCTCACTGCATCCCTTTAGACACAGCAGGAAGCTAAACCTCAGTGGCTTTTGTCACCTACCCAAAGCTTTACAGGTAGGAAGTAGCAAAGTCAGAATGCAAGCCATGGTCAGCCTACAGTGAGAAAACTGGGCAGTAAAGTATGGCAGAAAGTTCGAACCTTTCCCTGGTATTCACATTCTTCAATTTTTCCAGCTCTTAAGATACTGAATCATTATTGGCCTCTCAAGAAAGCAAACTGAAAGACAAACAAGTAGACTAGTATTTCAAACAATGAAAGTGAAAACAAAAAAATTCCTTAAAAAACCTTAGCCAAAAATTTATATTTAAGGCAAGGAAAAAACTAAACAATGTACACATCTTAGTGTGTTATTATTCACAATATATTATGTGCCCTACCCTAATCATATTGTGCCCCTCTTGTTCAGGATGAAAGCATCTAGGCCTGAGTAATATCTGCCTGGGGGCCACGAAAATGAACCATGTTCAGATACCAGCACTTGCCAGGAAAGAAGCAGCACCCAAAGGTTTCCTCAGGCTTTATGGTACAGGAGCTAGGGTCAGCTGAGCTGAAGCCCGATTTCTCCATCCACTCCTACCCCTGTCCTTCCCAGCTCACTCTTGGCCTGCAATCAATCTAGGCTTTTAAAGCTATTGACCAGGCTGCCCGAAAGCCACAGTCCAAGCCCATCTCTTCTCAAATCCATTTTCCCTGCCTCAGAGAAAGCCAATTGGATTTCCCAATTATCAAATTGTACAGCCGTGAGCCTACATGCTTCTGAGAGGTAATACAGTGTATCTTTTCTGTGGAAATGTACTACTAGCTTTTGGGGAGAGTGAACAGATTATTTAAAACTTTCACTCAATCTATGTGGTCCATTAAGAGGGATATGAGAGTGAAAGATACTTTTTGCTCAGGCTGTGATAGGGTCCTTTGTTCTTTAAGAAGCTCAGTTGCACTGATAGCATCTACACCAAATCTTGTGTTGTTTGTCCTTCTATGCTTCTACTGGCCCAAAAACTATAAATGAGCAAATGAGATTTCTCTTTTAGCATATATATTGACACACATATGCTAATTTTGGCAATGTTTTAGCACTTTTAAAGGCTAATTAAATCAGTGTTAAAAATAATAAAAGTAGCTGCCATTTGTTGGTCTTGTACTTTGTGTTAACTAATATTTAGGCCCTTTAAAATTGCTATATAAAGCATGGCAACACACAATTGCAATCTCACCTCTCAGGAGGCTGAGACAGGAGGGTTGCTGGAAGTTCAAAACCAGCTGGAACTACACAGTGAGACCTTGTCTCAAAAAAAGTTTTAGAAGCTAACTTTTGCCAAAGAAAATAGCATATAAATATATTGTACTCATAGAAAATACTTCAAATAACACTGAAGCCAAATCTTAATCTGAATGCCTTTCCTCAGTTACAACTTTGCTGCTCTACCAGAAAGAGACTGTTGTTCTACCTTGTTATGGTTTGTGTCTAGATGTCCCCCCAAAGCCTCATGAGATCACGGGGCAGGCTTTTCCAAGGCAGCTAAATCTAGAGTTTGTGATTGGTTCACTGTCTAATGCTGTGTGAGTGCCGTACCTGCCCTAGCGCAGGTGGTCTGCACACAGTATAAGGGCTGGAAAGAGGCTTGGTCACCCCTCTCAGCTCTTATTATCTGTGGTATCTTCTGCCACCATGGACTGCTGCCCTCCGCCATATCACTGTGCCTTGGAGCCAGCAGATTATGGATGGAAACCGCCACAAAGTGTGAGCTATAGAAACCTTTCCTCTCTTAATTTTGGGTGTCACGTATTTTGTCTCAGTAATGACAGAATAGTAACTAAGACAAAGGTTTTCAGTGTGGTGCATCCTTCCAGAATTCCTTGTGTTATTATACATATATGTTCCTGTTGAAGAGATATAATACAGTGCTCGTATGCATGTATTCATTTTATAAACAGAATCATTTTTTATGTGCTTCAGGCTACAATTTGCTTTCACACTCAGCAATATGTGAATAGTGGTAATAGTTATAGTTCACATATTTATGCTCCTATTTTAAGTTTCTGGGTTATGTAAATGGGTATTTCCAAATTTTATTTGGGTATTACCCTATTGGCACACACTTAGGTTTACTTGTTTTCTTTTTCTTTTGCGATACAGAATTTATAGTTTTGATAGAACTTAGTGTTTCTTCACCTCTATGTTAACAATGATGGATGTTACAAGTGACAAACGTTACAGGTGCCAAAATCAACAAAGCCTGGGGTGCAAGTTACACAAACAGGATTTTGAAATCTCAATTCTAGTGTACAATTACAGTCACAATTATCTGCTTATTCTTTTTGAGGCTAGTGGGAGTGAAAAAAGTCAAAAAACAAATGATAGCTTTAAGGTAGTAACTCTGAGATCAGTTACATACTTTGCAAACAATTAAAAGGACAAACAAACCATAGGAAACACACAGTTGTCATTTTATTTTGGTTTCCTTGTGTTTTTAATTAGAAAGCAGCAGAAATTGCCTGTAGAGAAGAGGGAAAACAAACTCTTAATTAAGATCTTTGTTAGGCAGGTGGAGACCTCATCCTTTCTAGGTTCCATGCAGAGCTACTTCCTGTGGAGTGCCCAGATAAAGGAAGTCCTATCACAGAGCTCTGAGGGTGCTCTATACTTTCATTGATCCACCTCAAGTAATTTTAATTTTGTCCTTCAGGCTTCAGAAGAACAAAACCAAACATTTGATATTTTTTTAAAAATTAGCCTTATTTAGTGATAGGTTTTATATAAACATGATTTTTTATCATCTGAGATACTCAAGTATTATAGAAATGTATAAAGAAACTGTACCAAGATATATTTCCCCTTTTTTCTCAATCCTAATGTTAATATTTTCAGTATGCTTCTTCCAGTGTTGTCTTTTCCCTCTCCCCTCTCTCTTCTTCTGTCCTTTTACAGAAAGTATAATTCTCTATAAATGGCTATAACAAGCCTTCTTTTTATAGAACTAGCATTTTTCACTCATTATGTTCTATATATCTTTGACAATGCTAATAGATGTGATTTGTCTTTGGTAGTGGCTAAATCATAACTACACAGTATACAGTATAATTGATCATTCGTTCGTTCATTCCTTTGTTCATCCATTTGTCTCTCAAATGTTTGTTCTGTGACTGGTACATGACAGACTATACACTTAATCCTAAGCACAGAATGCTAAGCACAACAGGCACAGTCTGAGACCTCTAGGGATTCTGGTCCAGGAACAAAAACAAGCAATAACAGTATGTGATAAATCTTATGCTACCTACTTTAGGGGATGTGATTAGGGAAGCTTAGGTGGCAGAAGTAATGACTATGCTGAGAAATCCACAGAGGATAAGGTAGAGCTTGCAACGTGAAAAAGAGAAAGTATTTAATCTAGGGTGGCAGCATTTGCAAAGACCTGAACATTCTATAAAAGTGAAGCTGGAGCTCATTGTTTGGAAGGTGTAAAGACAGATGATGCTGCAGTATAGACAGTAGTGTTGTCCCTGATCCATACCCCTTTAAAATGAATCATCAGTTATTTTCCAGGCAGAGTCACAAGCTCTCTCTGAACTGCCTGGCTACATTCAAACTCAGGTATGACTCAAGTCAAAAAGGTGCGGGGTAGATCTATTTTAACAGGACTTGTGGTAAATTATAAATATGATAAACTATTTGTATGTTCAAAATGAGGCAGTTCAAACTACTTTTTAGTGAGGCTCTTTTTCTAGCACATGGTATTGTTGAACTTGGACTGTAAGACAAAGATATTGAGTCTGTAGAAGAATAATTACCCCAATGCTGATATATTCATTTTCTTGATTTATCTAGTTTTATGGAGGGTGGGCTGGAAGTAAAAAGTACCATAGAAAGCAGAAATGTGTCAGTATTATACAAATACTTGAACACTGCATAGATTTTAGCAAAGAGCTCACGGGCAGGTGAATAAAAGCAAGCAGCTATCCCTACTGGTCAGAGAGGGATTGTTACAGTTTGTGTCTAATTATTCCCCCAAAGCCTCACACAGTCAAGAGGCAGCTTCTGGGGTTTGTGATTGATTATTATGACTGTGGATGCAGCACCTGCCCTGGGGCAGGGAATTTGCACTACAACATAAGGAAGGGAGAGAAGTCAGCTAGCTGCCTGAGCTGCTGCCACTCCTTTTGCTCTTGTTCTTTGCTGCTGCCATGAAAGGTTGCTCTCTGCCATGTGCTGCTCTGCCTTGAAGCCAGCTGAGTATGGACTGAAAGCCCCAGTACCTGTGAGCTAAATAAACCTTTACTTCCCTCATTTTGAGTGTTGGGTATTTGTCCCAGCAACAAGAGAAGAGTAACTGAGATAGGGATGTATCCCATGAAGCATTTGTAACATGGCTTTGTATTCATATGCCCCAGGAACAAAGGCAAGTCCACAGTTAAGGTGAATGAGACATGGAAGAGTGGGAACATAAAAGCCAGCATAAAAGTGAAATTGTGCGCTGGGTAAGAGAGAAGCAATAGGGTTGCCAGCCCCAGGGCTTTCTACCTCAGAGGCTGACAGGATACAGGCCTAGCACAGGACACAGACTGCAGAGAGAGGATCACCTTCCTGAGGCCACACAAGAAGGTACTGGAAATGACCCTATTCTAGCTATTGATGGGAGACCTGCCAACCAAATAGGATCCCCATGCCAGACAAGTCAGGAGCACCAGGCCTTGGGTCCTTGTCTTGTTTTGTCCTTGGAGAGTGACCTTTTTAGGATATTCTCTGCTGTTTAAAATATACAGTTATACTCCTCACCTGAAGTCTGATATGTAGGGCTGCTGGTAGTGGCAGTTGTAATACCAGCAGTATTAGCAGCCACCCTTAGTATACTCATGAAAGCAGAAAATGAGAGACCAGAGGTAAAGATGTTTCTCCACTAGGACATTTCCTCATGTCTTTGGAATCACGTGTTTGGAAAGAGAACATGTACATGGGAGGCAAAAGTGCTGATCTCTGCCAGAGTACAGAAGTCCTCTTCCATCAACCACTTTCATCAGGCAAAGGACAGAAGCCACAGAAAAGGAGCTGTCCCTGCACCTCCAGAGCCTAACAGGCTTCTGGTGCTATGTTTGACTGTAGTTCAAGGCCGAAGATTGTACACTGATCTATTCATTAATGGACCAAAAAACTAGAACAGCTCTGACTTCAGTTAGAGGGATCAAAAGGCTAGCTAACATGGGGAAGTGGAAACTAAATAATAATTCAGAATTTGACATTTAAAAGTACTGTATATACTCTTAAGCAAAATAAATCAGACCCATGTGTGCAAACATTGTATTGTCTCCTTAATGGGAGAACCTGAAAGAGAAAAATGGAATCTGAAGGGTACAATAGATACTGAGAAAAGGGAATGAGCTTATTCATAAGAAAAGAGTTACTGAGTTGAGAGAAGGACAGGAGAGAGAATGGGGAAAGAGGTTTATCTATGTATGTAGCAGGATGATTTGGACAACTGTACTATGCATTTCTGCTGGTTTATGGAAAGGAGCAGTTAATGTTTTAATTTGTTTTGTCACATTTTTTCCAATAATTTGTATTTTTTTTCTTCTTAACTTCTTGTACATTTCTTCTTTTTTTCTTTCTTCTTCCAATTTTACATGCATATATCTGGTAATATGAATAACTGATTGGAAGACAACATCATGTATTAAAACAAATGTTGTGAAATACATATTACTTTGTTAAGTAAAATTCTGTATGTTTTTTAATTTTTTGTTTTAATTCTAATTTGTACTCTCTTTTAAAAATAAAAGATAAATAAAAGAAGTGTTTTTCCCTCAAGAATAGGTCAGAAAATTTCAGAAATGTTTGTACCTTTTGCCAAAAGAAATTCTGGCAAATGGTGGTAGAGCTACAGTACTATTTATCTTCTAAATTTTGAGATTCCCCTAACTTTATGGATAAAACAGCCACTTTTCTCTCTGTATTGAGCAAATCTGTTGAGAACCCAGCAGGACACAGAGGTAACTTGGACACTTTCCAATGTACCATGAAACAAAACAGCTTTGATCACATTTGAACCCCACTAGTCAGGATAGAAGCAAATCATTCCAAGACAATGGCAAAAGATTTGCTTATAAATTAAATTCCAGTGGTGATATTATAGGTACCTTGTACATTAGAGGCAAATGTTTATTAACTGTATATTATACTGAGAAATAGAAAAGATAATTTTTTGTGCTTCCATTGAGACACATTTAAAATTCCCAAACACCAATGATGTAATCTGCTAAGCAATTTACCTAACTGTTTTGTATTTCTTCTTGAACAGTTGATTACAGTGATATTTATTCTAGTCTGTGTGGATTTCCATTTGGTAATTATTTATGGTTGTTATTTACCTGATTTTTAAGTGCATGGTAACTCAAGTTATAAATGAGTTATTATTACAGCCCCTCTAAATTTTAAAATTATGTTAATTTTTTCTCCATTGACATGTTACACAAATTTTCAATCTTGGAAATTCATTTCACAACAAAAAATATTACTTAGATAGTGATACACTGCTTTCAAGTCATGGAACTGGGTTTTCTGTCTAAGTCAAACATACTGGTTAGGAACAAGTCACTATGAATCCAATATACATAAGATAGAACAGAGTGAATGTCACTGACTGAAGATCAAACAGGGATTCTTTGATGTTGAGGAAGTGTCACAGAATCTTAAAATCTCAAAAGACACATGGGAATACCACATAGTGGACAGCGACTCTGCATGGCCAATTATTGAAAGTCACAATTTGCCTTGCATTTGCTTATTGTCATTTTCGCTTTCAGAGACTGACTGTTCAGGAGTAGATGAAGTGTTTTAGTTACATTTTGTCACCAAATATATACTTGATAAACTATATGAAGAAATGTGAAGACCAGTTATAAAGTTCTAGGACAAATTCAGGCTGCAAGTGAAATGGGTCTTGATGAAGCCAAGCAACAGAGAGCTGAAAGGGAAGTGATGAAAGTTGACAAAGAAAAAGTCAAAGAGCAAGGGAAAGCTGTCAAGAATCCTTCAGGTATAAGCAATGCTTATTTATACTGAGCATCTATCTAAGTGATTCCATATTCCTTCTTATAGGATCACACATCATTCTTTGTTTCAGGAGGCATTGTAGGTGGGATTTAGTTGATCATAGACCTCTCCCTTTGTGTTATAATTGCCTTTGGTATCCTCTCTCCTCCACCATGGACTCATTGACAGAAGGCTCTGTGTCTTTCATCTTTGTATTTCTAAAGGACTTAGTACCATGGCAGGCACAAAATAGGTTAGTGCTAAATATTTGAAAGAGGAAGAACATGATGAGGGAAGCAAATAAAATGACAGAGTGAGTCACAATGGGGATTAGTCATTTGTTATTCATCTTCAAACTAAATAGCTGAAAGCAACAGATTCTAGAACTTTTTTAATTTACAGAATGGTAAACTGAGGCACCGAGGCAAAGGAAACATCTTGCCCAACCACCATCAAGGTCAGGCAGTTGGAGGCAGAGGTAGAGTCAGAAACTAAGCCCATGACACCCCCTGTTCACTTCCAACTCGGTGAGCAGTTCTATCTTCTTCAAGGTGCTCAGCATCTATTTTATTGAACAAGGTCAGGGACACAAAGAAATAACTAAATGAAAAATATCTTTTAATAAACAGACAGTGGTCTATTATGGCTCTAACGGGCCTAGGTTGAAACCAATAAAACTGACCAAAGAACACACTGCTTGTGTATCACTTAAGGTTCACCAGAGGAACAGATTTAATATATAACAACGTATATATGAAATGTAAAAAATGTCCAAAGTAAACTTGAAATAGCTGCCTACAGAGTCAATGTGAAAGAATGCAAAGTAGTCCTCTTTGCACTGGAGAGCCAGGGAACACAGCTTAGAGTCCAGGGCCTGGTGCCGTCTGTAAAGTGTGGTACGAGCCTTTGTTGGAAAGCTGAAGTGTCTGTGCTAGAAGGCTGAAGAATCTGTGCTGAAAGCCTGAGGAACTGGAGTCCAAACATGACGATTAAGACCGAAGCAAGGGCAGATTTCTCTCTTTATTCTGTCCAGGCTACAAACCTGTTAGTTTATGCCACCCACATTTGGGGGAGGGGCCTTTCCCCCTCAGTTTGTGACCTACATGTCAATCATCCACCAACAGACCCAGAATTGTACACCAGTGATTCACTAGGCATTTCTCTCTTTTTTTTCTTTTTATGCATTTAGTAAGTATAGGGTCTACAGGGTCTCACTACATAGATTGGACTCGTAGTGATCATCCCGTTTTCAGCCTCCCAAGCCCTGGGATTACAGGCATGTACCACCACGCCCAGTCTCTCACTAGGCATTTCTTAATCCATTCAAGTTGACATCACAATTAACTATCATGAGAATGGTTCCGGAAAATGGAATTTTAAAAACAATTATTTGTTTACATTTTTATATCCAATTATATAGTCCAGAACCTTAAGAGAGTAAAAGTGTACACAGAGACAATGTGGGAAGTGGTCTTCCCTCCTTTTTCTGGCTCCACCCAGACCAGTTTCTACCTGCACTGTAGGTATGCCTACTTCTTATTTTCTTGTGTATCTTACAATTTCTATATGGTTATACAAGCTAAATGTGGATAAGTATTCTGATTTATTATACAAGGACTAGCATATTAAAATGCAGATCTCTTCCTGGGTCTTCTTTTATTAGCACATGTTTGCAGTATACAGTGGTTACATTCCTTGTGGGGAGTTGTTAGTATAGGCACACAACAAGTTAATTCCTTTTCCATCCTCTTTCCCTCCCTCTCCCCATCTTTTGATCCCCTTCCCATTGGAGAAAGATCTATCTCCCTTGTTCTTTTTTTTTAAACTTAAAATATGTCTTAGAGAACCCTCATATTAATACCAAAAGAATATCTTTACTTCACTTTAAATTATTCTATTGGATGAATGCAATGCAATTTAATTAAATGGTTTCTGATTGATCAGTTTTAGATGATTCCTAATCTTTTCAAGTTAGAAAATTCCTTTAATGACTAATGTGATATACACTCCAAAGATTTCATGTTTGCGGTTTTGACATGTTGCCAGCTACCCTCCTTATGGCTCAATTGGTTGACATTCAAGTTTGCAGTCTGAGAGTATCTGATTCTTTGTAGCTTCCACATCAGTTTTATTAAACTCTAGGTTATTCACTAAGCTGAGGGGTGAAAACGCTACTTTAGGGAAGTTTAATTTTCGTTTGTGTTAGTAATGAAGTTAAGAATCTCAGAGATGCTAGAAAATAGAACTACGGGCTCAAACTAAAATATGGTTTGCTTCTGTTACCCAAACTGAAACCCAGCACATGGCTGGTTGCCAGGAGGAGACTTCGGCCTCAGCTGAGAGGAATAGCCCTCAGTGCAAGCACTTCACATGGGTTAGCCTACTCCAATTCAGACACACTTGAATGTTATGAACTGGTATCCTTTCTGTACAGATTGTGATGCTGAGGTTGAAAGACGATCTTCTAAAGATTTGGTTAAGTGACACAGCGCAGACCTGAAGCTAGGTTTGGAGAATTCCATGACCCTAGATTGCAACCACTAACCCACACTGCCTTTTAGATTGTTGCATTTATTCAGAGGTTGAATTAGGTCATTCGTATGCTGTTCTTCTCCCATAGAATTTATGTCCTTCTCCTTGGCCTTACTCGTCTTCTAACTCTGTGGCTAGTGTGGAAGGACGTATTTTTTCTTTAATATAGCTGTGGTTCATTGCTTTTCCTTGTAGTATTTTGAGATGCAGCGAGTTTGTTCTCAGGCAGTCACCTCTCTTGGCTCTTTACCCTTTTCTGCTGTGTCTTGATAAAAGCCACCGTGTTTGTAACAAATTATAAACATTGACCAGTTTTCTCCCTCCCCTTCATATAAATATAGAAGTTGGAGCATCGTACTGTGCAATAATAATAAAAAAGCAACTGGGGAAAATTTATTATATTCTCAATTATATATGAGGGGTTAACTCAGCATAACATATTGAGGGTAATGTAAGGTTACTTGATTTTTAATCTCCTTATGGAATAAAAGTGGACTTTTGCAGAACTACCTGGAAAAGACTAATTTCTCTCAAGTGAAATTATTACTTTGAAAAGACTGAAGAATTCAAAAGTCAGTTCTCTGGATATGAGGAAGATGTGTCTATGCCCTCATAGTCAGTGGCATTCTAATCTTCCACTGAAGTGGTGCTAACTGTCATAATGCGAGAGAGCCTGGTGGGCAATGGTTATCTGTCTAGGAAGCCTTAAGCAGGCTGTGCGACAGCTGACATGTACTCTCCTCTCTCCCCTCTCGGTTTGCAAAGCTTCTAGCTTCCTTCCATTTCCACTGCACATAGGCGTCTGCTCTCCTTCCCGGTAGCCACAGTCAGAATGCTCTCTGGAGCACCTGGGGATAGCACTTCTTTAGAGACGCCTGCTTCTCCATCTGGGCCTCGCACTTCTGCTCTCTGGAACCCGTCTGGCTGCTCTGAGAAGGCAGGTGCTGTGGAGCCAGGTTCCATGGCACAGTATAGGAAGTGTTTCACTCTTTTCATCTTGAATGCACTGAAAACCACAGTAAATCAAATCACTAGGAAGTCGCCCTGAAAACACAGCTTCAGGGCCTGACATTAAGTTCACTTAAGGGACGAAGAACATTAAAGAATCACCAACCGTGCACTGCAATTTACCTTATCCTTCACGTCTTCCTCAGAGATGCTGTCTTTTGTCTTGTGTAGAAATAGGTCAGGAAGAGGGGGTTGGCAAAAGAAGGGAAAAGGAACTAAGAAATAGGCATTTTAATCTTTCTTTTCGCTGCTTCTACTGTGAACATCCTCTTTTTATTTATGTGGCGATCTTTCTTTTTATATACACATTGAAATTACCTGGTAATTTTTAAAAATGCTGATGCCTGGATCCCACTAGATTTGAATGGTCTAAGGTACAACCTAAATGTCAGGTTGCTTAAAAGGGCAAGTGAACCCATGTGCGAACAGAATTTTTTTTCCAAAAGCTGTCCTTTTGATGAATGAGTGGTTAAACAAATTGTGCATGTATATGCACAAGGTGAAAAATTATTCATCCTTAAAAAGCAAGGAAATTTTGCACTGAAAACCACAGTAAATCAAATTTAGAGACTCCTGCTAAAATTTTGGTACACGCTACAACATGAATGAACCTGGGGGAACATGAATGAACCTGGAGAATATTTTATGTATGAGTCTGGTAACTTAAGCCAGATTCAAAAAGACAAATGCTGTATGATTCCACCACCATATAATATCCAAAATAATTGTGAAATTTGGCTACCCTGATGGACATTAGTATTTTCTGCATGATTATCTTGAGATTTGTCCTATCGGAAACACCTAGGGTCTCTAGTTTTCTTCTTAATATAGAAATTATATATTAGTAAATAATTCAATTGTCAATGGTTATAGTATAAGGATATGAACTTCAATCATCCCTTCAAGAGATGCTAATGTGTTGCAAGGTTAGAAGTCACTAGATTTCCTAAAATCCAGTCCTCCTGATCTCTCAGGCCGTCTGGCTCCCCCATGCTTTTCCAGCTTTCCTATATCCTCAGACATGACTTGTGATCCTCTCCATAACTTGCTATACTTGCAAGTGTAAGTTGCATAACAAGTATATACCAAGATGATTTACTTGGTACATCACCTATACCAGTAATGGTGAACCTTTTATGTTTTTTGTTCATGCATGTACCATAGGTTTACCACTAATACCCTAGTATGTGGTCTAAGATTTACTTTCTGCTCACAGGACTTTTTGCCCTTGCTTTGCATGTTGGTATCTCCCCCAATCTTTGAGGCTTGGGTTGACTTTTATTTCATCCATAAAACTTTCTCTCTTCATTTCTCTCTCTCTCTCTCTCTCTCTCTCTCTCTCTCTCTCTCTCTCTTCCCTCAATGCTCACTAAAATTAGTTATGAACATTATCATCCTCTTAATATTTCTGAGATATGGTTGCATACATGAGTCTGATTCTCCTTGGGAGCATAAAGAATTTCCCATGGTCCTAGCATGATTGTTGCCTTGGAATAAGTGGTCAGTATGTATGACATAGTTTTGTTGTTGTTGTTTTCTTAGACAGGGTCTTACTATATAGTCCAGGCTGGCCTTAAGTTTGTAGAGATTTTCCTACTTTAGCCTCCTGAATGCTGGAATTATAGGCATGTGTCACTGCCCCTGGATTTGTTTTATGGTGTCTTAGCTATTTTTCTTGTTGATGAGATAAAATCCCCAGTATCCACAAGTAAAGGAGTAAAAGTTTATTTAACTCACTGTTTGTAGAAGTTTCAGTCCATAGTCAGCTGGCTCCAAGGCAGGGCAGGATGGAAGAGAGGAATCATTAAGGAGAAACAGTTCATAGCATGGCTGGCAAAAGGCAGCAAAGAAGAAAGCAGCCACAGAAGCAGGGGCATAGCAACACTCCTTCTCCCTTTTATCCCATCCAGGATACAAGTGTTTTGGGTTGTGCCATCCATGCATCCATTATGGGCCTTTCCATTTTCCATAACCAGAGCTATGCTAAATCAGTCAGTAGACTAATTTCCTATGACACACCCTTAATTCCAGTGTCAGGAACCCTAGACACAGCCACCTCCAAAAAGCTCCTCCTATGACCTCAGGAGGCTTTGGAATGACATCTAGATACAAGCCATAATATATATCAAATGGAACTTGGCTTTCTAGTTCAGACTTTACTTCTAAACTCTAATATATATAAGATAGTCCACAAGATGTCTCAATCATTTTAACCAAAAGAGTCAAAACACAGTCTTGATATTTCTCTGAATGTTTCCCCTCTCCAGAGCTTCCCTAACCCCAATGATATCTCTCTCCACACCATTAATCATTTAGGTCAGACTGTTAGATATTAACTTTCATAACAATATTTGTTACTTTTGATATCCAATCCAATATCAGGATATGGCAACTCCATCCCCAAAATAAATTACAAAGACTTACTTTTCTTCCCTTTTCTACTGCCACCCATAACCAGCTTCATCATGTTCACACCTGAATGCTCCCTGGTCTCAAACACGACCTCTTATCCCTTCCAGTTGGTTTTCTTTAGTGCAATGAGACTGAAGTTTAAAGCATGCCTCACTGTTTCACCCATTGCTCATACCTTCTTATTGTCTGCCCACTGCTCTTGACATTCACAGTCTTTTATAAAATCTGGAATGCTCTGCAGGATTGAACTGCCCATGCCTTCTTCCACTCAACCTGTTACTTCCCAGCCCCATCACTGATCTTGAATTGGGTTTTATCTTTTTGTTTCCTTAGACTTTTCCCATAGGGATTACTGTGCCTTGAAAGCTATTTCTATGTCTTCTATTACTAACCAGCTATTCTTTCAGGCTTCAGGTTAAATGTGTCTCAGGGTGACCTGTCTTAAGTCCAAGTGTCATGTATTTCTGTGCCTTACTCCTCAGAGAACCTTTGATTTTCCCATTTTAGCCCATATTATAAGTGTGCCAAATGGAAATCATAATTTGTTGGATAATACTGCCCTTTGGCATCCTAGCTTCAAGCATACAGGAATGTCTCAATAAATAGTTGTTGCACTGATCAATTTCAACCAGCCAGTGTAGACCATCCCTATTTTCAAGCCCCTAGCCCTAGCACCGAAGTAATTTTTTTTTTTTTTTTGCAGAACTGGGGATTGAACTCAGGCCCTTGCGCTTGCCAGGGAAGCGCTTATTCCACTGAGCCATCTCCCCGGCCCTCCTAACACCAAAGTAGAAAAAGCATTATTGCTATATCTGCCACAAACTGCTCTGTTGATCTGACTCAATATAAGCACTGCTACTCAGAGTGCAGAGGGCTGGCTGAGGAGCAGGACCCACAGGAGTGGAGCCCTATTTGCCATCATGCTGCACAGCCCTATAGGCCTTCTTGACTGAGCTCTTGACATGGCAGGGAACAGGATTCTGAAGCCTCCAACTTCCTACTGGTGAGATTCTTGACCAAGGACTCGGGGCTGGCATGAAGGAAAGCCCTACCTCTTTCCTGGCTCTCATGAACAAAAAAAAAAGAGCAAAAGGACTATTTCCTTGAGATGAATGGTGCATTTTAAATGAAGTTCCTTAGCATTTAAACAATCATATTTATTCTCCATGCAGCAGTGGTTTCATTATGTATAGTGAAAATCCTTCTAAATGTGAATGTAGCATTGGTCCAAGGAACCTCACGTTTGGAATGAATAAACCAACATGGGGTCTCACATTAGTGAAAATTTACTGAGCCCACTTCTCTGCTAGTTTGTTTTAGGGAGAAAGCAAGTTCTTTCTTGCAAAGAACTTCTGTTTTTGAGAGAAAAATCTGTGTTCAAACTCCAGCCTTTTTCCAAATGACTTTAAGAAAAGTATTTACTATTACTAAACCTACTATTTAGGGGTTTTGGATGGATCACATGAAAAAACGCATATCATTTCATTAAATATATAAAATGTTTTTAATTTATTCAGAGTGAAAACATGGGGACATGTTTGGGATTTTGATTTTTTTAAAGTTTTGAAATTTTTTGTATGGAAATCTAAACACAAAATTTATATTTCATGTCTACCTTATAAACATGATCTGAAAGTAATTTAGTACAATTAATGTACCTGTGTTTCAACTGCAATCTGTTCAAGTGTAAAATTTTACATTTGTGGCATCATGTCTGCACTCAAAGCTTTAGATTTTGCAGCTTTGGGATTATCAGATTATGGATTCTCAACCTATAATATATTTCACAGAGTCGTGGTGTTACACCGGTATGGTACAATCAACACTCTCAATAAAGGGCAATCATTACTATTATAAGTTCCTTATACTCTCAGTTAGCAACAGAACTTACATGGGGTCAAATTGACTTTTGCTTAACAACAATCATTCCTTCAGTATAGATTACTTTAGTCCCCACTGTGCTTCAGAACGTGTGCTAGACAGGTGATAATATTTTGGGGAATAAAATGGCATACTTTTACCTTTAAGAAGATTAAAGTTCAATGGGATATAGAAAAACAAGGAAGTAAATCAATTACTACAAGCTACAAATGTGGCAATTCCTGGGAGAAGTGGTGGGGAGGACACACACTGAAGAGGTGATCACAGAAACGCCAAAGGAACAATTTATTCAGAGTGGCTCAGTCTTTTGGCTCATCTCTTTTCCCAATCCTGCAACACAGTAGTTTCCTTCTGTCACTTGGCTCACCCAAGATGGCACTTTCAAAATTTCTGGTACATCTTACAAAGCTAGCCTGACTCTGCTGCTCTAATTTCACAAGAAATGATGACTATGACACACACACATCTGTTGTCCAGGTCAGTAGGCTTTTTAAAAATCCTTAAATAAATAATGTTAGCAAACAAAATCCAACAGCATTTTAAAGGAATATTATACCACAGCCAATTGGACTTATTCTTAGATTCCAAAGGTGAAATGACATAAGTAAATCTTTTAGTAGAATTTATCGTATCTGTTGATCAGAGGAGAAAAACTACATCCTGATTTCCTGCAAATGGAAAAACCCTTCCTTCGTACTCAAATTCAAAATGAAGGTTTTCCTTATCACTC